CAAGTGCTAGGATTAAAGACGTGCACCACCACCACCCGGTGACAGGAACTTTCAATGTAGCCTCTGCTGACCTGAAACTGGCTATGCAGACCAGGCTGGCCTAAACTTGCAAAGATTCTCTTGCCTCTACCTCCTGAGTGCTGAGATTATAGGCATGTGCCACCTTGTTCACATGTAGTACTCTCGGTAATGTTTGCCTAAACTGACTGAGAAACATCTGCCTCCCATTTTATGTTCCTAATAAGATTAGCCAGGTATTCAGATGACACCATTTTTAGACCAAAAGATTTCCATTCTTTACTACCTGACAAATATCAGATAGTTAAGCCCACCAGTGAGAGCTATATCCCTACACAGCCATGTGCTCTAGTGTCTGCCCTTGCCCTAAGCCACCCATGAGTTCTCAAGAACCTACAAATGTAATACAGATTTAAAGCTTGATACATCACCCACTCCCAAAAGCCACATTGTTGTTGGATGAGGATTCAGAAACAGCAAAATCTATGAAGTAGGGGAGGGATACAAAGTTTGGGTAAGAGGGAGAGTAGTCAGAACATATTATGTGTGAAAAAGTCAGAGAACAAGATTTTTAGATTCTTATTAATACTGCATAAAAACCTGAAGAAAAAAAAGAACAAAACATAAAGGGTAACTACTATTTAGTACTTGTGTGATCTTTTTTGTTTAGTGTATGTGTGTATGCTCATGACATATTATCTCAAGTAGCCCAGACTACCCACAAATTTGATAAGCAGCCAAGGATAATCTTGAGCTTCCAATGCTGTCTCTACACCCATAGTGCTGGGATTACAGCTGTGCTCAAACCCAAGGCCTTGTGAATGCTAGGCAGTCTATGGAGCTGCATTCCCAGACCTGTTCCCTTGTGAGACAGGGTTTCATGTAGCCCAGGCTAGTCTTAAACCCAAAGTGACGCCAAGAATGATCTTCAACTCCTTATCTCTGAGCCACTATGTCCCAACATTGGGATTACAAGTGTGCTACCATTCCTGCCCTTTCTGTTTCTGTTTGAGACCAGATCTCACACTAGCTCAGACTAGGCTAGAACTCACTATGTAATTGATTGGCCTCACACTGTAGGCAACCCTTTTGCCTTAGCCTTGAGTGCTGGGATTACAGGTGAGTCAACATGTGAGGCAGCTATGTGGCATTGTTATCCTTTTTGTTCCTCAACTTCTTTCAATAGGATTGTTGTGAAAGTGTGTGTGTGTGTTTGTGTGTAAACGAGTTTAGAAAGTATGTAGCAAACAGCTGCAAGTTAACTATTTCTATGAATTAAACAACCCAGGCCCAATACAGCGGGAGATAAGAAATCATGGGGCTAGAGAGATGGCTCAGAAGTTGAGTACTGACTCCTCTTGCAAAGGACCCAGGTTCAGTTCCTAGGACTCACACAGTGGCTATAACTCATTTGGGCTTCCAACAGAAATGCATATGGCATACACACTTATATCAGGCACTACACACACACACACAAAATAAATCCTAGGAGAAAGCTGAAGCTCACCCATCCAATACCTGCTTAGCATATAATGTTCAATACTCAGCACTTTACTGAGTATTGCCCTGCCCACCAAGTGACAAGACACTGAGAGGGGAAACGCTGCCTTTTAGACAAGTACCATCTTTCACAAAGATAAAGTCCTAAGCATTTTCTTTTCTTCTTCAAGCTAACTGGGAACTTCTGCTTGGTCCTGGCCCCAGTGTGGGTAGAACTGAGTAGCAGTACCGTCGTCCCCTCTGCCCTCTCTACTTTTGGAAGCTGAGCTCAAGGTTTAATGGCAAGCAAGGTGGCATTCATTCTGAAGACAATTCAGAGTAGAGGCTGCTGGCTGTCTTTGAGAATACAGCAGTGCCCTCTGCTGTGAAGCTTGCATTTAACAAGAAACCAGATCGGCCACAGGCACGGGTTACTCCAAGGCTGCAGCCTTCTTTCCTATGCACTTACATCAAGAATGCTAGACTATTCCAGATTCTGGGAAGATTCCCGTCCCCCATCACCAGTTGTCTATGCTTTAGAGTGCTTCCTCCTTTCTTAATCTTGGGTTATCAGTCACTAGTACCAGAGCTGTGTATCTTACCACACGGACAAAAGCCTGCCCACCTCAAAGAGCACCAGGGCTCAGAACAGTTTGGTCTTAAGACCAACTGATCTCTCCTTGCACTTCTAATTTCTTCTCCCTCCCCAACCCATCCCTCCTTTTGATTTTTGAAGACTTGTAGCCATCTGTCCTGGAACTTGTTCTCTAGACCTGGTGGGCCTTGAACCCACAAGGATCTACCTGCCTCTGTCTCCTGTGTGCTGAGATAAAAGGTGTGTGCCATTACCACCCAGCTGAAGAGTAGTTTTTCAAAGTTTAGTTTGGCTGGCATCTTAGGATTCCTATTGCTATGATAAACACCATGAGCAAAAGCAACTGGGGAGGAAAGGGTTTATTTTAGCGTGCAATTCTCAGCTCATATCCACCACTGAGGAAAGGCACAGAACCCAAGGAAGGAATCTGGAGGCAGGGACATAAGCAGAGGCCATGGAGGAACACTGCTAACTGGCTTGCTCAGACTACTTTATTAATTCAGGACCACTGGCTCAGGGTGCCACCACCTAGAGTGAGCTGGGCCCTCCCTCCCATATCAATCACCAGACAAGAAAACGCCCAGCAGACTTACCTATAGACCAATTGTATGGAGAAACTTTAAGATTCCTTCTTCCCATATGACCATAGCGTGTATCAAGTTAACATTAAGAATTGGCCAGCACAGCTAAAACTTGGCTGGCGAGGTAGCTCAGTGTATAATGGCATTGCCTCTAAGGCTGATGTTCCGGATTCAACCCCCCAGTGAGGTGGTAGGAGGGAATCCTGCAAGTTACTCCCTGGTCTCCACATGAGCAAATGCACATATATACACATTCCATATTATATATTTTAGAATTATGTTTTGCTTCCATGTATGTATTTGCATCAAATGTGTGCCAGATGCCCCAGGTCAGAAGAGGCAGTCAGATACCTTGGAACTAGAATTAGAGATGGTTTGTGAGCCACCATGTGGATGTCGTCTGTAAGAGCAATGAGTGGGTTTTTGTTTTTTTTTTCAAGACAGGGTTTCTCTTTATAGGCTGGGCTGTCCTGGAACTCACTCTGTAGACCAGGCTGGCCTCGAACTCAGAAATCCGCCTGCCTCCGCCTCCCAAGTGCTGGGATTAAAGGCATGCGCCACCACTGACTGGCTCAACAAGTGTTCTTAACCACTGAGCCATCTCTCCAGTTCTTTAAAAAAGATAAATCAAAGAAAAAAAAAAGTCTAAGTGTCTGTATGTATAGATGCCCATGGAGGCCATAAGAAGGCATTAGATCCTTGGAGCTGGAGTTACAGGTAGCTGTCAACTTGTCTATGACCATGCTGGAAGCTGAACTTGGGTCCTCTGGAAGAGCAGCAAATACTTTTAACTGCCAAGCCAGCTCTCCATCCCCTTGCCATTTTAGAGCCATAGTCTTATATAGCTTATGCTGATATGTACCCAAGAATGACCTTGACTTTGTAATTTCCCTGCCTTTATCTTCAGACTACTGGGATAACAGCATGGGCCAGCATGCCCATTTATGGTGCATGGAGATGACCCAGGGATTCACGCACACTAGACAAGTGCTCACCAACTTAGTCAGTCCAGACTGGAGTAAGCTACAGAGTGAAATCGTTTCAAAAATTTTAAATGAGAAACATGGGCTGCTGAGATGGCTTAGCAGTTAAGAGCACTTGCTGTTCCTAGCACTCACATGACAGCTCACAATCATCTTTAACTCCAGTTCCAGATCTAGTGTCCTATGATGGCCTCTGCAGGCACCAAGCACACAATTGGTGTGTATATATGTATACACACACACACAATCTATACACATGCAAGGAAAACACTCATACACATAATCTTTTTTTTTTTTTTTTGGTTTTTTCGAGACAGGGTTTCTCTGTGTAGCCCTGGCTGTCCTGGAACTCACTCTGTAGACCAGGCTGGCCTCGAACTCAGAAATACATCTATCTGCCTCTGCCTCCCAAGTGCTGAGATTAAAGGTGTGCGCCACCACTGCCCGGCCTCGGAGTCATGAATTGAATACACAGACACACACACACAGCTTAACCAATCTGCGTATCATCCTTGCAGGGGTCATGCCTTTGTTCCACTTTTAGTATATGTGCTGAAGCATCCACCAAGGTTTTTTTTTTTTTTTTTAATTTCAAACAGATTCATATGATGCTGAGGGTCTAGGCTCTAAAACTTAAATACTACAGAAAAGAACTTTGGCATTATCAGGTTATACATGAGGTCTCACAGACGTGTCTGTGTGTGTATGAGGAAGTTAGGGGTAACCTCAGGTGTTGGTCTTCATCTTCTACCTTAAGACATGGCCTCTTCTGTATGCCAGGCTACCTGGCCTAAGAGATTCCATGGCTTCTGTCGCCACCTCCTTTCTCATGGTCAGGATTACTATGATTACAGATGCACAGTAGAGTGGCCAATTTTATATCAGCTTCTGAGCCATCTCCCCAGCCTGACTATATTTAACTGTTTATGGTGTACAAGCTGACTCAGGGCTCTTGTGAATAGGCAAGCCATTAAAGGAGCCTCCTCTCATGACTATTCTCCTCATGCAGATCCTCCAGGAAGAGACTGGGTTCCCTGTCACTTCAATTTTACTTTCCCATTTGAGGAAAGAGGCCGAGAAAGGGAAGAAAACACAAAGAGGATAGGCAATGCTCTCGAACAGCCAGAAGCCTGCTTGTGACAAGCACAGAATGAAGATACGGGAGACTGGGAAGAGAACTCAATGAACTCACAAAAGCAACACCAACATATCTGCTTGTCGTCTAGATGCCAGCCAGCAGCTCCACGGCCCCACGGCCCCCACGGCCCCACGGCCCCCATGGCTCCCACAGCTCCCAGGCCCATCCTCAGGAGGAGCACTTCATCAGCAGGACAGGCTGTTGGCTTATAGACACCTAGAGATTTTTGTTTAATGGGTCTTGTTTGTTTTGTTTTTGAGACAGAGTCACATGTAGACCAGACTGGCTCCAAACGCAAAGATCCTCCTGCCTTTGCCTCCTTAGTACTGGGAGGACTAAAGGCGTTTGTAGCATGCCTGGCTAAGCCCGTGTTTGCAGACACAAAAATGGGGTTAGCGACATGGAAGATGACTCCTCCTGTTCAGGGTCTGTAGTGTCTTCACTGCCACTATTATAGTCCCTATTGTGGGCTCACATCCTTGACCAGAAGGGCAATCTGTTCCTGCAGCTGCCGCTCCCCTTCCTGGGCTTTGCTCTGGCTTCGCCAGCTCAGCAGCTCAGCCTGGTGGTCCTGGTGAAGCATAGGACAGTAGCTCTGCGGTTCACACAGCTCCTGAAGGTACAGGACAAAGATCTCTTAGACTCTGGAGCTCCGCCTACTAAGAAGAGATACTGCTCACTGTGGCTGAGGAACAAGTCTTCTCTTAGACTGCTTTACAGTCCCTGAAGATTGCATGCTAAAGCAACCCCCACCCCCCACCATGTCTGACATCTTCCACATCCTTTTACCATATATTCTGGAAAGAAATCTCTGTAGCCCCCTTTGAGGATATACAGCTCGGGGTAGTATAATGCCGGATACTGGTTCAGAGCCCTATCTTTTTTTCTCAGAGAACGGCACCTGTAAAGAAAATCCAGAGACGGGTTGGATGGAGGAAGCAAAGCCAGGCCTCTATGGTCCTTCAGTGGGATGGAGGGGAAGGACAGACTATGAGTGACTCCCCTGAAGGACCTTCAGTGCTGGGAATGTAACTCAATGGTAGAGAACTCTGTAGCACACAGAAGACACAGGTTTAATCGACAGCCACCACCCCCAGCACACACCACCCCTCACCATACTAACCAACCAAGGTCTAGATGACATCTTTACCCTTCCTCCATCGAAGCTTCACCCTCAAACCCCTTTGTGTGTGTTTACATGGGTTTTTGATTGGTTTTGTTTTGTTTTTGAGACAGGGTCTCACTATGTAGACCAGACGGGTCTCAAACTCAGTAATCTATCTGCCTCTGACTCCTGAGTGCTGGGGTCATAGGCATGAACCACCATGTCTGGACCTTTTTTTGAGACAGAGTCTCTAGCCCAGGCTGATCTAGAACCCAGAATGACCTTAAATTTCTGATCCTCCAGCTTGTATATCCCCGGAACACCATGACTCCCCTACTTTTCTGGGTTGGAATTATAGGTGTGTATAATTATGCCCAGTTTTACGCAATATTGGGGATCAAACCCAAGGACTATATATTCTAAGCAAGCACTCTGCCTGCTGAGTTACATCTCCAATGCCCAGTACTTTGCTTTAGCGCTCAAACTTTTGAACCGTAGGCACATTGTCCTTCGATTACCCTGACACTCATCAAACTGCAGTGGAAGGCATTCACTCAGGTTCATCTCTGTCCAAACTGGAGCACCAAGTCTAACTAAAGATCCGTTTCCATCACCAGGTTTAGCTCATGCAGATACTCACATTCGGGGGCCTCTCTCTGAGGAGAATTCACAGAGGAACACAATGATGACTCTTTTCTGGGTGTCCAGAGGGACAACAGGCTTCTTCAGAAAGAACTCATGTAGTTCCTTCTGACTGTACAGGTTTAAGGCTCCCTGCAGAAAAGAATGTTAGCAAGTATTCCTCAAGGACTTGTGTACAGTCAGTACTCGGGAATGACTGGTATACTTTTCTGGGACATTAAGGCCAGAAAAATCAGGCAACAAGGAGTTCCAGGGTAGGAACCTAAGCCTCCCTCTGTATCTACTCCAGGATTTGGCACAGAGTTTGGTATGTAGCTGCTCAATAAATATTCACAGAACTGAGCCACCCAGAGTACAGGATAAATTACGAGAACTGTTTGTGAACATTAAATGTTTGCAAAGTGCTTCCTGGTTCCTGGATGGTTTTTAGGTTTCCGAGGCTCCCACAGGAAAGAAGGAGACTGTCAAGGAGGGAAAGGGATTGCTCAAGGTATACAGAATTACAACGGGAATAAGGGCTTCCTTTGATGGGGTCTGAATGTATCATCTCTGTCCTAGTGCTAGAGTTCACAGGACCCTTTGCCCACACACTCTTCTCAATAAAACCGAATCTGCAGCCTCCCCTCTCCCAGTGCCCATGATGTAACCTCACCAGGATGTGTCCTCCCAGGTACTCATATGGATAGCGGCAATCAATGACATAAAACCTCTCGATCACACTCTGGAACTTTCCAGACAGCAAAGCAGCCACCTGCACACAAAGTATGATTAAATATCCTGTTCACTGCTGCTCTGAGAGAGAGGAGCCACACAGCTTCTTTCTGCGTATTTCCATTAGTCACACAGGATCGCACTGTATGTAGAACCTCCAAGTTTAGCCTGTATTTGTAACATAGCAAAGGGTGAAGCCTAATTCCACATGAGCGTGAGATGGAAATGGCCCGTGTAGACGACCCAATGGCTGATACCGAGGTTATCTATCTAGAGAAAAGCATGACTGACAGCCTCTCAGGAGACAGCTAAGGAGTAGAGCAGTAGCAGAGGTAGTAGTGGTTAGACAAACCAATGTAAGAGGACGTGAGGAATAGTTCCCCAGTCACCAAGTCCTGAAGGATAAGCTGTTCCAGCCTTTCTAAAGAGAATTTTGTAAATACATACAAAATACATAGAATTATACTTCCAATTTTAAAATCTTTGTTTTGTGAGATAAAGTCTTAAGTAAGTAGCCCAGGCTGTCCTCAAACTCACTATGTACCAGAGAATAGCTCTGAATTTTTGATCCTCCTGGCCCCAACTCCCAATTGCTGGGATTATAGGCATGTACGACCATTCCCAGCTTCTGCTAACACCTTAAGTAAAACTACACAAATTGATATTCATGTTAGCATTGCCTTAGGATACTGAAACCGTACAAACAGCTCACACATCCATTAAGAGGGGTTTAGTTAAACAAATTGCATATTTTGGTATAACAGATTACATAGCTATTAAAATAACATAGATTTTTATTTGTTTGTTTTTGAGACAGGATTTCTTTGTGTAGCCCTGGTTGTCTTGGAACTGTTTTGTAAACCAGGCTGGCTTCGAATTCATGGACTCTGCCATCCTCTGTCTCCCAAGAGGTGGAATTAAAGGTGTGTGCTGCCGCCACCACCTGGCTTTTCTCCCCCCTCACACTAGGTCTTACTATGTAGCCTGGCTGGCCTCACCTTGGTTGCTTACGATTATCTCACCAGATTAACTGCAACACTTCAAGTTTATCATTACTCTATCTTTTATAAACTGGGCAGTAGGTAGACCTCTATAATCATGGCCAGTCTGCTCTACACTGTAAGTTCCAGGCCAGATTCTGTCTAAAAGAGGAGAGTAAGAGGCTGGAGTACCTTAGGTGGTACAGTGCATACACCAAGCCTGTTTCCCTAACCTGCAACACTGCCAGCACTCCTTATACCAGGTGTGGTGGTGCCTGCTTGTAATCCCAACACTCAAGAAGTTGAGGCAGAAGGCTCAGAAATCCAAAGTCATTAATCATCTCAACTACATAGTAGCTTACAATCAACCCAGTCAGGATGAAGGAGAATCAGACAACACTCTGTCTCAAGAGGAGAGTCGTGTGTGTGTGTGTGTGTGTGTGTGTGTGTGTGTGTGTGTGTTTTAGAGAGAGAGAGAGAGAGAGAGAGGAAGGAGCAGAGGCAGATAAAGACAGATTATTAACATGTAAATCAGGATTCATGGCTACTTTGAGACCCCGAGTGAGGTTTTTTTTGTTTTGTTTTTTATGTTTTCCTTCCCTTCGCTCCTTTATCTACAATAATATATTATTTGTTTAAAAAATTTTAAAAAAGATTTATTTTAGCCGGGCAGTGGTAGCGCACGCCTTTAATCCCAGCACTTGGGAAGCAGAGGCAGGCAGATTTCTGAGTTTGAGGCCAGCCTGGTCTACAGAGTGAATTCCAGGACAGCCAGGGTTATACAGAGAAACCCTGTCTCGAAAAACCGAAATAAATAAATAAATAAATAAATAAATAAATGATTTATTTTATGTATATGAGTGTTCTATCTGCATGCATACCAGTGTGTCAGAGGAGGGCATTAGATACTATTATAGACAGTTGTGAGCCACCATGGGATTGCTAGGAATTGAACTCAGGACCTCTGGAAGAGCATCTGGTGCTTTTAACTGCTGAGCCATCTCTCCAGTCCCTCAACTAAATATTTTAAAAAGATAAAAATTGGAGCTGGGCAGTGGAGGCACACACCTTTAACCCCAGTTTTTGGGAGGCAGAGGCAAGCAGATCTCTGAGTTCAAGGGCAGCTTGGTCTACAGAGTGAGTTCCAGGACAGCCAGGGCTACACAGAGAAACCCTGTGGGGAGAGAGAGAGAGAGAGAGAGAGAGGGAGGGAGAGAGAGAGAGAGACAGAGAGACAGAAAAAGAAAGAGTAGAAATAAATACAAAGGAGTCCTTCAATACAGCTTCAGTTAAGTAAGAGCCCATGAGAGTGGACAGAGTGGAAGACATACAGACTGAAGTGGGTGTAGGGAGCTCAGGCCAGTGGCTGATGGTCTATGATCTAACCAGTTACCATCTCCAGAAACACGCTTACTGTGTCTGGGCTGATATACTTCAGATCCCGGTGTTTCCCTGGCACCGTTGGCAGCACACACACCTAGAAAGAGCCAAGAACTGAAATAACAACAGGAATTTCCCACCCAAGCATCACAACAAATACTCTGATAAGGTCCCTTCCAAGTGATTCTATCCCACAAGGGATTTATAGAGAAATTGTGAGTAGCCAAAAAGTTAACTAATAAATCGCTATTGAAATGATGAAATAAGGGTCTGCAGAGATGGCTCAGTGGTTAAGAATACTAGTTGTTCTTCCAGAGGACCTGGGTTCGGACTCCACATACAGATGGAGGGTCAAAACTGTCTCTAGCACTAGTGCCAGTAGATATGACACCCTCTTCTGACCTCTGACAACACTGCACAGATGTGTGCAGACATACACGCAAGCAAAACAACCAAACACATAAAATCAAAATATTGTGCTTGTTATTTGAGAGTCTCACTATGTAAGTTCGGTTGTCTTGGAACTTACTCTGTAGACCAGCCTGACCTTGAATTCACAGAGATCTGCTGCCTCTGCCTCCCAAGTGTTTGTATTAAAGGCAAGCATGTCTGGCTAAATCTTTTTTTATTTCTTTAATGATGAAATGAGGGGCTAGAGACCTTGCTCAGTGGTTATGAGCACTTGCTACTCTTTTGAAGGACCAGTGTTCATTTCCCAGCACCCACACTATGGTTCCCTTGCCCATACATATATTTAGGCAAAATACGTAAAAATGTAAAATAGGGCTGGAGAAATGGCTCATAACCATCTATAATGAGATCTGATTCCCTCTTCCGGTGTGCATGATGACAGATCACTCATAATAAAAATACACACACACACACAAAGGTTTAAAAAATAAAAATAAACAAGTCTTTTTACTATTGCTGTTAGTGATAGCATGAGGCTGGGTAAACTGCTCAGTTGGTAAAGTCATGCAAGTATAAGGACCTACGTTTGGTCCCTAGCATCCACAAATAAACCTAGGTAGGATGGCATGCATCTGTAATCCCAGCGCTGGGGAAGCAAGGGCACAAGGATCCTTGGGGTTAGCTGGCCAGCCAGTCTAGTTTATCTGCAGGCCCTAGGTGCCAGTGAGACCCTGTCTCAAAATACAAGGTGACAGCTCCTGAGGAACACCATCCAAGGCTGACCTACGGCTTCCACATGTATATACACACCGAGGCACATATAGTACCCCACATACCCCAAACCGAAAGATTAAACGTGCAAACACATCAGAATACATCCATAATTCTGGCAGTTGGGAGGCTGATGCAGAAGGATCCAGAGCTATGAATACTATCTTTAAAAAACAAAACCACAGGATCAGAGATAGGGCCCCTTGGGTAGAGGTACTTGCCACCAAGCCTGAAAACCTGAGTTTAACCCACAGGACTCACATAGAGAATGGAGAAAACCGACTCCCATAAGCTTTCCTTTGGTATCATGATATGAATACACACGCATTCTCATGCACACTTACTCTAAAAAAATAAATGCATTCTATCACCATGTCTTATCCTAATGAGACGATATAAAGAAACAGAGAAACACAAAACTTCAACAGACCCACAGTGAGGTAAGAGGATTTGTTGTTTTGGGGGGTGGGAGGTTGGGGGATATAAAACTCACTTGTTTGTGTGCATTTCTGTAGAAAGGTTAGAAATACATACAAAAATAATTTTTCTATTTGATAAGGTTTGGGATAAATATTATCATTTTTTACCTTTTTTGTATTAACCAAAACACACACACACACAAACAAACGAGAGGGGGGAAGGAAAGAAGGAGGAGAGGAAGAGAGAGAGGGAGGAAGAGTATACATAACCAAACGCACCTTTGAGAAATCACCAATCAGATGCTCTGAGTCAGAATCTTCCTCCTCCATCTGAATGGTAGCCATGTCAGCGAGAGGGACAATCTTCTTTAGACTTAAGCCCTGAAAAGACAAAACTCTCAATATTCCAAGTTCTCATGCTAAAGATGTAAAAAACCTGGACTGACAAGATGGCTCAGTAAATAAAGTACTTGCTGGGTCCTGGTGACCTGAGTTCAATTCCCAGAATCTATATAAATGTGGAAGGGAAAAGGAATTCCTAAAACTATTCTCTGACCTCCATATACATGTTCAAGCCTACACACACACACACACACACACACACACACACACACACACACACACAGACAATTAAATGCATACACATATAAATAAAATAAAAACCTAAAAGAAGTTATAATGTCTCTTAAGATGTGGAGAAACTGGGACACTAGTGCATTGCTGGTGGGGATGTAAAATGATGTACTGCAGAAGGGCAGGTCCTAAAATTTAAGTATAACACTGTCAAATCTGAACACTGTACAGACTGGGGTAAAGCGCAAGGGCTCAGTTACCTAACATTTGCTAGGTCCCGAGTTCAACCGCAACACTGAAAACAGTGTCAAGACATCACGTGGACTTGTGGACTTGACAAGTTGGTACACACTAGCAATTCCAGCATTCAGAATTAGAATGCTAAGGCCAATCAGACCTACATAATAAGAATCTGCCTTAAAAACAACAATAACACTCAACACTCTCCCTCCCCACCCCATGCCAGGGATTGAACTCAGGACCTCCTGTACAAATGTGGGTCTTCCCTTTGTATACGTGAGTGGTCCTGTGGGTGGAGGCCGGAGCTCAACTCTGGTGTCATTTCTCAGGAGTCTGTCCACCTTGAATTTTGCAACAGGGTCTCACAATGAAGTCCGGGACTTGCTGATTAGACAAGGCTGGCCAGCCTCCTGTCGTTGCCTCCCTAGCACTGGGATTGTGTTTGTGTGTTTGCACATCTGGCTTTTCATGTAGGTGCTGAGGCTGGAGGTGGGGTCCCCATGCACACAGTAAGCAACCTAACTTTTTAACAGTTAACCTAACTTTTTTTTTTTTAATTACTTCATTTTTATTTTAAGTATGTTTTGCCTGAATGGAAGCATGTGTGCTCATAGAGGCCAGAAGTGGCAATTAGATTCCTTAAAACTGGAGTTACAGGTTGTCATGAGGCACCAGTGTAGGTGCTGGGAACCAAACCTGAGTCCTCTGGAACCTGAGTCCTCTGGAAGAACAGCCAGTGCTCTCAACCACAGAGCCTGTCTCCAGGCCCTAACTAATCTATCTTGTTAGCCCAAGGAATCGTCTCCACATTATGGCTGTCCTTAGCTGTAGTATTACAGCAGCAATACTAGTGTCATAATGTTGATTGAACGCTGTTCCTACTTACATCAGTTATTACTGACAATAATAAAGTAGGGCTAGAAAGATGGCTCAGTGGTTAAAAGCACTTGCTGCTGCTCTTGACAGGGCCAGAGTTGGGTTGCTAACACATGGTGGCTTACCACAGCATATAACTGGAGCTCCAGCAGATCTGACACAATCTTCTGGCCTACACAGATATTTACACAAACACATAAATAAAAATAAAATAAACCTTTAAAAAATAGTATATGGAATATTATAAACTGTTTTTTAAGTTTTTCTTTCATCTTTTTTTTGGGGGGTGGGGGTGTTGGGACTGGGGAGAAAGAAGGTTTCACCATGTATCCCTCCCTGGCTGGGCTGGAACTCACTATGTAGACCAGACTAGCCTCCAGCTCATTCTGCCTCTACTTTTCAAAAGCTGATATTAAAGGCACGTGCCATCCTCCCAGCAAATAAAATTTCTATTTTATTGAGGTATATTTCACAAACAAAAAAATTTGTAAACATTCAAGATATACAATAAAAATCAATGTCCTTCATCAAACACACACACACACATACACACACACACAGAGGGGCAGGGGGAGGGAGGGGTAGGTGTGAGATGAGAATATGTTTTATTGAAGGAGAAGCAGAGACTGAGGTTGGGCATTACTATATAATCAGGCTGGTCTTGAACTTGGACTCTCTCGCCTCAGCTTCCTGAGTGCTGGAATTATACAAACTGCTTTTAATACTTTATCATATGGACAGCAATTCTATGAAAAGTTTTATCTTATTTTTTTGCATGCGTATTTGTGTGATCCATGTGCATATGTGTGTGGAGGCCCCAGGTGGACACCAGGAGTCTTGTCCACTCACCCCTCTCCTTACTCACTAAAGCAGAGTCTGTCAACTCAACTTGCTGGTGAGGCTAGTCTAGATGGGCAGCATGCTCCAATCTCCACCTGCTGGCCTTTCTTTTCTAGACCTGGAATCATAGCCAGACCCATTCAGTATTGATGTGGTTCATCAAGCACTTCATAAGCTGAGCCTTCTGCCCAGCCCTGCTGTCCAATTTAAAAGGGAAAATTAAAGTTTACAGTAGTCTGGCAGATAGTCCATCACTAGTAGTGGACAAGACTTGGAGCCCAAGTACCTAACTCCATGGGACCACCACATCTGCCTTGTGTTGAAACAAGCCATTCCTGTACTGTGACTAACTTCAAGCTTGAGGAAAGCCTCCTGCTTAACACACCAAGTGCTAGAATTGTAAGCATGAACCACCAAGGCTGGCAAATCATTTATTTCTAACTCTTTAAAGTTTCTGTAAGGGGCTGGAGAGATGGCTCAGTGGTTAAGAGCACTGACTGCTCTTCCAGAGGTCCTGAGTTCAATTCCTGACAACCACATGGTGGCTCACAACCATCTGTAATGGGATCTGATGCCCTCTTCTGGTGTGTCTGGAGAGAGCAATGGTATATTCAATATACATAAAATAAATAAATACATCTTAAAAAAAAAAAAAAGACAAAGTCTCTGTAAGGTGTGCCTTGTGTGGCTGGTGCGGGTCCCCCGCCGTCTGCACTCTGTATGGCTGGTGCAGGTGCCGCCCCCCCCCCCCCCGCCGGCCGCAGTCTGTGTGGCTGGTGCGGTCCCCCCCCCCGCCGTCTGCACTCTCCACTTCCCCATCAATCAGCTTGGTGCCTCCTCCTCTTAGTCCATTTAAGTGAATACGTGTAAAGCCATCCTTGTCCACCTTGTTTTCAAACAAAGCTGATGCAGAAGTGCTAAGCACCTAAGAGACTGTCTCTGGTGGTGCCACACACACATACAAGGCACACACAGCTTTTGATTATCTCTCTGTGATGTATGAAGTGCCTTAGAAGACACTTGCAAGAACCTGCTAGGTTATTCCAGCCATTGCTTTGATAGTGACTAAAATTACTGACCAAAACTTCTCAAACTTCTCATTCAGTAACAGGATAATCTCCATGGTGATAAGATACTGTCTGTCAAGTATCTCTTAGGGTCTAAAGATTTTCTTTTCTTTTTTTTAAAAACAGAACATTTTTTTTGGACTCAAACCATGGTCCTTTAGAAGAACAGACAGGACTCATGACTGCAGAGCCATCTCTCCAGCCCTATTGCCCTTGTTGAGGCCAGGTCTCATTATGTAATCAAGGTTGGCCTTTAATTCACAACCTTCTGCCTCTATCTACAAAGTAATGGAATTACAGGTATGTATCACTAAGACTCTGCTTTTTTGTTTGTCTTGTTGTGTCACAGCCCTAGTACAATAGACCAACAATATTGTTTACTTAAGATCAAATATAGAAGCTTATGCCTGTAATCCTAGCACTTGGGAGGCCAAGGAAAGAGAATTTCAAAGTTTCAAGGCAGCCTAGGCTACTAGTGAATTCCAGAACTGCTTTGGCTACAACTGAGTTCCAGGACAGCCTGGGCCTCACAGTGAGACCCAATCTCAAACAAACAAACAAAATGAAAAAGTCAGGTTGGCATGGTAGCACAGGACTGCACACCTACAATCCTAGCATTCAGGAGGTTAAGACAGGAAGATTGCCAGTTCAAAGCCAGCCACTCTGGGCTAAACAGCAATGTCAACAACCTGGACTATACAATGAGACCCAGGTTTTTAAGAAAATAGAAAACAAAAATAGTAACAAAAATCCAAAAGCCACTGAGATGATTCAGCTTGTGAGGTCTGATGACCAAGTCTGATGCTTGGACTCACAAGGTAGGAGAGAGCTAACTTTCCCTAACGGTCCTCTGAGCACCACATACATGCCATGTGCATGTACATACAGAAACATAGACACATGCACAAAGTAAGTAAAATGCAAAAGAAAGGTTGACAAATGAAAAGGAACAGAACACTGAACCTTGGTATTTTGGTCTTCCAGGGAACACTCCATTGGGTCTTCTGAAGTCCCTTCTTGGTCTTCTAGCTTTAGATTTTGACTCAGTTTTGGAACTGTAGTAATAGGACTGCCCAGATACTTCATTTCACTCTCCACCAAGATTCCATTTTCCTGTCAAGTACACTGACAATATTAAAACCTATTTAGGACCGAGTTTGAAAGCATATGTCTATGATCCCACTAATCAAGGTGCTGAAACAAAAGAATCCAGTGTCTGAGGCAAGCCTGAGCTACATACTCAAATTTTGACTCAATAAAAGAAAAAAAAATTAAAATAATAGAAAAAACAAGAAATCCTTACCTTATTCAGAACACGCACATCATGTACAAAGACTAACTCAAAATATAGCAACAATATAAATGTAAGAATTAAACTGCACAATCCTTAGAAGCATGCAGTGGTAGAAACCTACAGAACTCAGGAGACTGAGGAGGAGGAAAAAGAGGAAGAAGAAGAAGAGGAGGAAGAGGAGGAGGAGGAGGGTCTGAGTAAAAGTGTTCAAGGCTGGCCTGAGCAGTACAGTAAAACTTCATTTCAAAAACAAGAGAAGAAATGGACATTGTGCACTGTGGCACATGCTTGTTAACCTAGCACCTAGACTGTTATATCAGGGTTGCTGTGGGCTTGAGGACAGCCTAGACTACAGAGTAAAGTATTGTCTCAAATCCCCAAAAGAAAAAGAAAAGAAGGGGGGGCTGGAGAGATGGCTCAGAGGTTAAGAGCACTGACTGCTCTTCCAGAGGTCCTGAGTTCAATTCCCAGCAACCACATGGTGGCTCACAACCATCTGTAATGGGGATCCAATGCCCTCTTCTGGTGTGTCTGAAGACATCGACAGTGTATCCATATACATGAAATAAATAAATAAATCTTAAAAAAAAAAAAAAAAAAAAAAAAAGAAGGAACCAAAGACTAAAAAAAATTCTTACCCTGCAGTCTAAACAACCAAAAGTGTCAGAAGGCACATGATAGAGTTTACTGTCCCCACCCTCTTCACAGCTAAGGCAGGAGTCCACAGCTGTTGTTCTGTAGCCCAGGACACTTCAGCCACCATGTGATCGTATTCAGTAACTCACCAGCTCACAGAGAGGAGAAGCCAAAGGACCTCCATGCGTTTTCTGAAACCTTGGGGTCCTAGGTGCCTCCCATTCCAGTGCCTGTAAACTGGTGTTTATCTGTGTAAGAAGAGGAAGAGAAGCAGTAATGGTGCCTGCCAAAAACATCACATCTGATCAAACTATGACTAACTCTCATGAAACACGTGTGTTAAACATTAAATCACATCTGAAGATATCGTATCAGTAATGCTGTGGACCTGATGTCTGACACACAGGTTTGCTTTGAAGGATACAAACTTTATCATCAGAAGCAAAACGACAGGGATGAAAGAAAGCTTGCTTGGGAAGGATCTACAATTTTATTTGTAGATATTTATTATTTCTGAAGTTTATTTACTTTATGTATATGAGTGTTTTGTTTGCATGTGTATGTGTACTACATGTGCCTCTGGTGCAGAGGCCAGAAGGCACTAGATCCCCTGGAACTGGACTTACAGATGGGTGTGGAACCTCCACGTGGGTGTTGGGAACTCAATTCAAATCCTCTGGAAAAGTAGTAATTGCTTTTAACCACTGAACCATCTCTGTAGTCCTGATTTGTGAGAGTTAAAGGATTCTAAGGGGGCAACAATATGGATAGAAAGATGATTCAGCTAATAAAAGTATTTGACACAAGCCTGACAATTTGTGTTCGATCCCTGGAACTGAAGTGGCAGAAGGAACAGAAGGAACAAACTGACTCCTTCAAGTTGTCCTTTGACCTCTTAGGGCACATAAGCATGCAAACATACACACAGACACATAGATATGCACATGTAATAAATAAATGCAGTAAAAAAAAGTTTAAGGGACAGAGAAAGTAGTAATTTTTTTTTTAAGATTTATTTATTTACTTTATTTATGAATATACTGTAGCTGTCTTCAGACACACCAGAAGAGGGCATCAAATCTCATTACGGATGGTTGTGAGCCACCATGTGGTTGCTGGGATTTGAACTCAGGACCTCTGGAAGAGCAGTCAGTGCTCTTAACCGCTGAGCCATCTCTCCAGCCCCGAAAGTAGTAATTTTTAAAAGTTGATTATAAACACCTAAAACCAGGCAGATCTTCTTTAGTATAAAAAAGAATAAAAGCATAATGGGAGCTAGAGAGATGGCTCAGTGGTTAAGAGCATGTGTTGTTCTTACAGAAGACCTGGGTTCAATTCCCAGCACCTACACGGTGGCCAACAACCACCTGCAACTGCAGATCCAGAGAATCCAGTGGCCCCTTCCAGCTCTGTGGGCACTGCGGCGCTGATGCTGTGCACAGACACACACACATAAAATACAGAGAATAGCAGCTGCAGCGTGTACACTGATCTAGGTGAGGGCACGGAAGACAGAGAAGACTGGTAGAAAGGCAGTGGAGGTGGATTAAAGAATCAAAATAGTGAGTAGGCAGTTCGGGATGGTGGGACACGATGGTGGAAGACTTAGAAAAGAAGGGCCATAGCTTCCTCAAGGTAGTGCCAAGGTGGTCTCCTTAGTTTGACTAAGGAGAAATCAGAAAAAGTAATGTGGGCCTGCTAGTGCACATCTGTAATCCCACCTAAGAGGCTGAAGCAGGACCTCAAGTTTAAGGTCATAACAATGGAATTCTGTCTCAAAATGAACGTTCAGGATACCCGAGGCTTTCCATGCAGTCCCTAATACTGAAAGAATCAAAAGTTTAGCTTAGCCTGCTAGTGCAGGTCTGTGATCCTAGCTGCTTGGGAAGCCTAGAGAACTGGACTCTGGCTTTAAAAAAAAAAAAAAAAAATTTATTGTTATTTAATATAAGTTGGTGTTTTGTCTGCATATATGTCTATGTGAGGATATGAGTTACAGACAGTTTTGAGCCACCATGTCGTTGCTGGGAATTGAACTCAGGTCTTCTAGAAGAGCAGTTAATGCTCTTAACTGCTGAGTCATCTCTCCAGCCCTATGGACTCTGTCTTAACAACATACAAAAAGTGAGCTGTAGCCTGCTTGCCTAGCATGTCAGGAATACAAGACAAAGAAACACTGAGGCAGAGGTATAGCTCAGTGACATGAAAAGGCTGTTTGAATGAGGATTAAACTCAATCCTTAGCAATGAAACTACAAAAAAACCCGAAGAATTTGTGAACAAATTATGCTATGTATGTTGTTACAAAGCAAAATTATTTAGGACTAGCAAGATGGTTCCCTTGGAAGCAGTGCTGGCTGGGAAAGAAGCTTGACAATCTGATTTCCATTCCTGGACCCGTTCGGGAAGGCAAGAACTGACTCCAGCAGTCCCTTACAGGAACCTGCACTCACAGACAACACAGTGACTTTCCATCAGTTATTTACAAGATAGTAGCAGTAACCTGAGATCTAAACCGATAAACTCAACATAACTGACAGTTCACGTTTCAGGAAGTAATACTCACGTTTTCTTTATGTGCAGATGTGCTACACTTCACATCCTTCTTTCTGTGGCCACGATCCAAAGCATTTGGGGTACTACAAAGAAGCTGTACCTAAAAGACATTGTCTACAGAAAGCATCCAACAGCCACAGCCACACGGCCGGCTGGGAACCCTGCCGCCCACCTGAGATAAACCAAAGTCAAGAAAGAAAATTTAGGCTTGGTGACACATGCCTTTAGTCTCAGTGCTCAACAGCTGTTCCAGCCCAGCTAGCCAAACACAGTGAGGCCCTCTCTTAAAAGAAAGACAAAGAGAAAGGAAGAGAGGGAGGGAGGAAGAGAAAGGGAGGGAGGTCTACTTACTGGGATGCCTTTCATAATGTCCTGGTGAAAATCCCTGAAGATTAAAACAAAAACAAGCAGTAGTCACCTAATCCCTACATTCACTTTGGTTCGTTAGTGGTTGGGACACCCCAGTTTCTTCTGTTCAAGGGGCCCAGTCTTTGTGATTCTATGTGTCTTCCAACAATATTTGGGGTATTAGATATCCAAGACTTAGTGGTGTCCTGGGGGAAAGGCCCTCACTTCATTCGAATAACTATACAAGATAAACATGCACCAAAGAGGAGTTTATCTTAAGTCTTCTGTTCCTGTTTTAGTGCTAGGGATGGAACCTAGGGCTGTGTACAAGAAGCTAAACATTCTACCACCAAAGAGCACCTACCACTCCTGCCTTACATTTTTTTTTTTTATAATTTCTTCTTCCCTCCCAAATTTCTACCTAGTCTGTATAAAATTGGCTATTTAAGTTTTGAAAGAGCTGGATGTTTAGAGAAAATCAGTGTTTACTCTGTGTACACCCCCTGGCTAACTATTTTAGACTCTCCAGAAGAGACTCCACAACAGTTAGAACAACAAATATAAAATGTTTTTGTGTTTCTTCTTTTTTTGGGTAGGGTGAGGATGGAGGTAGAAGATGGTAGAAGATAGGGTCTCACACAGCCCAGGCTGGCCTCAGGCTTCCTATGTAGCTAAGGCTGGCCCTGACCTTCCGATTCTTATGCCTCTCCCATCTGAGTCCTGGATTACAAACGTAAACTATATTACCTGGTTCTGGTTTCAGTATGCTTTTATTTTTGGTGTGGGTGGTGTTGTGTTTGAGACAATGTCTCACGTAGCCCAGACTCTCATTGCTATTCAATCTTTGTAATAACTGTTCTTCGTAAGTGCTTTTGTTACTGCATATTATGAGTAAAGTGCAATCCAATGAATTAAGAAGCTGTGGGTCCCAGGTAGTGAAGTAGTAAGCCACCAGAAGCTAGACAGTCCCACTGCCCACCCTGTATCCTTAGCCACTGAACTACAGCACTTCTCACATGCAAAGAGAAACCCTAACATGAGAGCAGTACACCATCTCCCTTCATGTGAAAATAAGATATTTTCATGAATGCTGGTTTAAAACAGCCTGGATTTCACAACACTATTTAGAACTGGAAAACTTAAAAGCTATCAAGTCAGAATGTAGGCCTCCAAGCCCACTAATATCCAAAGTAAAATACTTTATAGTGTGCAGAGACCACATAGGCTACCATCCCCGTAGTTCATACAGAAAGGCTACAGCATATAGACCATTTAACAGCAGAACCTACTTGCCAGCTAACTGTACATCCTGAGGTCCTGACGAATCCAAAGAACCTGCAATCAGATATGAAGAATCATAGGCTGGGGATACAGCTTACTTGGTAGTGTTTGTCCAGCATGCACAAAGCCCTGGGTTCAATCCCCCCCTCTGTATAAAACCATGGTAGTACACACCAGTCTCATAGTTTCCTGACCACCACCACACAAATATACACTAGTAATACATTTTTTTTTGTTGTTGTTTGTTTTTTCAAGACTGTTTCTCTATGAGGCTCTGATAAAACAGGATGGTCTTGAACTCATAGAGATCTGCCTGCCTCTGCCTTCAGAGTGCTAGGATTAAAGGCATATGCTACCACCACCCAGCTAATAAATGATTTTTTAACTGAGCCAGAGAGATGGCTCAGAAGTTAAGAGCACTTACTGCTCTTTCAAAGGACCTAGGTTTGGTTTCCAGGCCTCACGTGGTGCTCCCCAACCATTTTTACCTCTAGGTCCAAGGGAGCTGGCACCTTCTTCCAGCCTCTTCAGGACCCAAGTACACAGTAAGTATACATGTAGTATACATGTAAGAATAAATAACCCTTATTTTTTAAAAGCCAGTCGTGGTAGCACAAATATGCCTGCAATTTCAGCACTTTTAAGGTAAAATTAGGTAGATCAGAAGTTCAAAGGCTACACTAGACACTGTCTCAGGCCCCCAACTTCCCCCCTCCCCAAGAAAACAAACAGAAAAAAAAGTAGTTACCTGGGAAATCTGAAATTAGAGCAAATGCTAGAATGGTTTACTAGCAAAGCTTTTTTGTTTTAGACAAAAAAACCTTAAGAATTGGTGTTGACAGCACACACGCTCAAGCATGCGCACACAATTAACTGACAAAGTATTTTTTCTTTTCTTTTCTTTTCTTTCTTTTCTTTTCTTTTCTTTTCTTTCGAGACAGGGTTTCTCTGTGTAGCCCTGGCTGTCCTGGAACTCACTCTGCAGACCAGGCTAGCCTCGAACTCTCGAACTCAGAAATCCGCCTGCCTCTGCCTCCCAAGTGCTGGGATTAAAGGCGTGCACCACCACCGCCCGGCCGTATTTTTTTCTTTTATGTGTGGAGGGTACTAAGGATTGAATGTATGGCCTTGTATTTTTTTATGCCAGTTTCTTTGCTTCTACTGAGATTAAATTGAGATAAATAATAATGATAAATAATAAAAACTTTACTTTCATCCCCAGCACTACTCAGTCAACAAAATATATTCTTTTCTAATGCAAAACAGTTTCTATTACTGTTATTTTCTCTTTCCATTCATCATTTAACCAAAAAAAAATTGTCTTACCTCAAAATTCCTACTCTTAGGCAGTGTTCTCTCAGGGTTTTGGTATGCAGTAGCCCAGGCTGGTCTGCTAATCTCTCTGTAACTCAGCCTCCCGAGTGCTATATTTACATAAGTTAACACACCAGGCTTTATGTAGCATTTTCCTTTCATCATCTTCCATTTCTATCTACTACCATATCCTCTCTATCAAAGTTATTTTTCCTTAAATTGTCAGCCTTAGCCTTACAGGCTGAGCAGCTCTCCAGCCAACAGATGGCTTAGCAGTTAGCTGCACTGGCTGCTCCTCATTTCCCAGCATCCCAGGGCAGCTCACAACAGTCTGTAATTCCAGTCCCAGAGGATCTAGTTCTTCTTCTGGCCTCTGAGGGCACCAGGCACACATGTAGATCACATACATACATGCATGCAAAACATTTAAACATATAAAAAATTAGTAAATACAAATTTTTAGGTTAAAAGTTAGGTTTTCCTTTAAAGACTATACTCCTACCATTCTCTTCAAGGTCAGCAGAAGTAGTACGCTGAGAAGCAGACATCTCTCCATTGCTAAGATTTGAAAGGTCAAGGCAACATTTTGGGGTTCCTCTGTTGAAACATAAGTACACATCAAGATTCCCACTAGGGTGCACTATCCTTAAAAGCTAAAGATCATGCCTTTATTTGAATCTCTCTCAATTACTATCACAAAAAACTAAACAGTATCCAAACAAAATCGGCTCAGACTGGGCTCAGAGGACTCCCCTCCTTCTCTGTGTCAATAATGTAAGCCTCTTTTTCTTTTCACCAACATCCTGAGATAAAATTTATTTAATGAGAATCTAAAGGAATCACTTTTTTGTTTGTTTGTTTTTTGTTTTTCAAGACAGGGTTTCTCTGTGTAGCCCTGGCTGTCCTGGAACTCACTCTGTAGACCAGGCTGGCCTTGAACTCAGAAATCCGCCTGCCTCTGCCTCCCAAGTGCTGGAATTAAAGGTGTGTGCTTCAGCACTGCCTGGCCCTAAAGGAATCACTTTTAAGAATTTTTACTACATTTTATTTATTGTGTGTGAAGGTCAGAAAACTGCTTAAAATAGACAGGGGACCTAACTCAGGCCATCAGGCTTGGTGACAGGTGCCTTTACATGCTAAGCCATCATACCTGCCCAGTGAACAGGATCTTAACCCCCTACTGTCTATCCTGCTCACCCTGAACACATAAACTCAATTTCTCCCTGGAATCTCTACTTCTCCTCAAATACTTATTTGCTAATGAGGTGTAAAGATAGCATGACCAGAATTTAAAGTACAACACTAACCCTAATACAATTAAATTGACAGTTTGCAAAACATACTAATAGAGTTTTTAGAATTTTTCCTAGACAGCACATCTATTCCGACATTACAGGAAAAGATTATTCCTGGTAAGAAAGAAAATTAATTTTTTTCTTCTTGTTATTTGTTTGTTTGCAATAGGGTCTCAGGCTATAGCCCACTAGTTGTCCTGGCATTCACAAGTAGCTCAGGCTGGCCTTGAACCTGTTGATCATCCTTGTCTCAGCCTCCAGAATGGTGAGATCACAAACATACTCCACCAAGCCCATTTAGAAAAAGATTTTTTGGTTGTTTGTTACATAGAAAGGAAGCCCAAGACTCAGACTCATATATTTCAAGGTCATAGTTGAGACTCAAACCTTGAAACAGGACAATTTGGCAAAAAAACTCGTTCATAAAATCAAAGATAAGGTGTAAAAATAAAAACTAATTTACAGACAAGAGATGGCTCAGTGATTAAGAGCTTGCTGCTCTTCCAGAAGGTGCACACACAGAAGAGTTCCCACACAGGTCCCATTTCAAGTGGTTACAATCACCTGTAACTTCAGGGGGTATGATTATAATGCCTTTGACCTGAGGGCACCTACAATCACAAACATTACTATATTCGGACTACACACACACACACACACACACACATACATACACACACACAGACCCCTAAATTAACAATAAATCTTTTTAAAAATGAATTTACCCTGACAGAATGCTTAGGTTTGCCGAGTCATGGAGTTTGTCTCCCGGAGATTCAGGGAAATCTGAACGGATGGTAAAAGAAGTGTTTCTCTCCAAAAGTAGGTGTAACATCTTCCTTTGTTTTGATCTAAAACTGGGTGCTGAAACAGAACTTCTCTCTTCACTTGCAGATAGAAAAGGTCCTGTAGACATGACTTCGGAGTCTTCACCGAGGAAGGTGGGGCTACGTAGAAGAACACTCCAGATATTCAACAACTCCAGTCTCTCCACCCTTTTCAGTGCCCCGCTGAACCCGGGTGGAGGAGCATCCCCGTAGGACGAAGTATAACCTCCTGGAATGTTACAATGCAGTTGCTCAGGGCAAAAACTTACAGACGTCGGACAAGCTCAGGACTTCAAAGGAAGAGAAGACTGGTTTGGCCGGGCGGTGGTGGTGCACGTCTTTAATCCCAGCACCTGGGAGGCAGAGACAGGCGGATTTCTGAGTTCGAGGCCAGCCTGGTCTACAGCATGAGTTCCAGGACAGCCAGAACTACACAGAGAAACCCTGTCTGAAAAAAAAAAAAAAAAAGAAGAAGAAGACTGGTTTGATCCGGACCACCCAGTTTCACACATTTGACGAGAAGAAACAAATCTAACAAACAAGATAAGGCTATTCCGGACCTCAAATCCCGAAAGAACCCTGCAGGGACAATCGTGTATCCGAGATTCCCGCACGGACACAGCTCCCGGCTTACCTTAAGTTTAAAGGCCGATTTGAATTTTGTGAGGGGAAAAAAAAAACTCCTGCAGGACTGGAAGGAAGCAAAGACTCCACCGAAAGACAAGGAATCTGAGGAACAGAAGCAGCTCTTAGATTTAAAATTGCATACACGTAGCCAGAAGTTCAGCTTTGTGGTTTCTCTCCGGAAATGGCCTAAAGGCAAAACCAACAGCCATAGGCTTGACCATTCAAACCTTCCGCTCTCTTAACAACCTATCGTCGCTCTCTGCTAGCAGCATCAGCCAATTATCGCACCAGAACCTGACCCCGCCCTCTGACCAATCGCTAGGCTCGTACCTAGTCCGCTGGCCAGCTCCGCCACACAGAGAGCCTGATGCACATTGGCTCTCCCTCTGGCCAATCGCCACATCCTTCCTGTACTCAATTCCCTCCGCCCCAGCAACCCCGGGAGATTTAAATCAAGCCTCGCTAAGGTTTACTAGCTTGAGGAACTGTTTTTGAGCGAAGTATTCGCTTCTCCTTGCTTCTTTCACGTCTTGTTACTCTTGAGTTTTGTTACCTTTCGGCTGGAAATGGAGCATTTGTCGCCGGTGTGGCAGTGGTTGGAGCATGACAGCTGTGTGTTGATGCTGAGCTGTCACTGGCCCCTTCCAAGAGGCTTTCTAGATAGAAATTCCTTTTTAGGGAGAGTAGAGGAATGGAACCTTTTGACATATTCTTTATGACAGGAAGGTTTCATGCCTAAAATCTCAGCACTTGGAAGACTGAAATAGAAGGGTCGCCCTGAGTTTGAGGACAACCTGCACAACAGAGTGAGTTCCAGATCGCCGTGGGCTAGAGACCCTGCTTGAAGAAGAAGGAGAAGGGGGCGAGTATACTAGTAGTGATGGTGGTGATAATAGGAATGGAACTCAGAGCACAGTAGACAAGCACTGTCATTTAGCTGTTAGTCCCCAGTCCAAGAAATTATTTTTTAAGATTTTAAAAAATATATTTATTTATTTCATATATGTGGGTACACTGTCGCTGTCTGAAGGCACACCAGAAGAGGGCATCGGATCCTATTACAGATGGTTGTGAGCCACCATGTGGTTGCTGGGAATTGAACTCAGGACCTCTGGAAGAGCAGTCAGTGCTCTTAACTCTGAGCCATCTCTCCAGCCCCTGAGTCTGGTTCTTACAATTATGCAACAAGCACTGATCATCTCTCCAGCCTGATCAGATCTTTTGGGATGTGAAATTGAGAAAAACATGGAGATTTTAAAAATTTAAAAAATGTTTAAATGACAAATTTGAGCATGAATACAAGAAATTCTTAGTGTTGGTATTTTTTTTCTTCAAAACTTTGGAGAGTGGGTGTGAGTATAATGAAGTAATTGGCCATGAGTATGTGGTGCTGGTTGGGTGGGAACTTTTTTTTTTTTCTGAGACAGAGTTTCTCTGTATAACCTTGGCTGTCCTGGAACTCACTCTGTAGACCAGGCTGGCTTCAGAAATCTACCTGCCTCTGCCTTCCAAGTGCTGGGATTAAAGGTGTGCTCCACCACGGCCTGGAGGGTGGGAACTTTTAATTAATAAACATACTAGCCACCTGGAGGTCTTGAAAAAAATGTGGACTGATTCAGTAGGTCTGGGTTTGGACCTAAAATTCTACATTTGTAAGCAATTCTCAGTTGATGATGGTGTCTTTGGTCCCAGGAGCATACTTTTGAGTAGCAAAGCATTATGCTATACTTTTTGTGTGTTTTGAGACATGGTCTCACTGTCTTCAGCTTGAAATCCCTCAGCCTCTTGAAATCCATGCCCACTCAGTTCCCTGTACTCTACTTCAGAATGCATTTGATTTTTTCTTTTTTTAGTATTTTATTCGTATTTCATGTGCATTCATGTTTTACCTGCATGAATGTCTGTGTGAAGCTGTGGGATCCCTTAAAACTGGAGTTACAGGCAGTTATGAACTGGAAATTGATCCCAGGCCTTTGGGAAGAACAACCAGTGCATTCAACCATTCAGCCATCTCTCCAGCCTCCCTTCCTCTCTCCTTCCCTTTCTCCCTTCCTCCCTCTGTTCCATGGTTAGTTGAGGCAGGGTCTTGTTATATAGCCCTGGTTAGCCTCGAACTCATGATTCTCCTGCCCTAACCACCTAAACTCTGGAATCACAGGCATGTGTTGCCACACTAACCTTGACACTTTTCATAACTAAAAATGTTCAAGCTGAGGATGATAATGCCTACTTATAATCCCAGCATGTGGGGGCTGAGGAAGGGTAACTACCAGTCTTAGCTACAGAACAAAGAAAATGGTGGGAACTTGCTGGTGAGAGCTTGCAGTCCAAAACCTTGTGCAGCTGGGGCAGGAGAATCACAAATTCAATGTCACCTGGGCTACCTATCAAAACCCTGTCTCATAAACAAAGCAAATGTTTTAATTTAAACATTTAGTAACTATTTAAAGTGCAGGCCAGTCGATCTCTAGAGACCCAGGAGTGATTAAGGCTGCCAGGTGCTACTCATGCTAATATTGCAGACCACTGTTTGAAAACAATCAGAAAGCCGGGCAGTGGTGGCGCACGCCTTTAATCCCAGCACTTGGGAGGCAGAGGCAGGTGGATTTCTGAGTTCGAGGCCAGCCTGGTCTACACAGTGAGTTCCAGGACAGCCAGGGCTACACAGAGAAACCCTGTCTCGAAAAACCAAC